AGAGACCCCACACCCACGTGTGCTGGTGCACAGTGCAAGGAACCCACGGAAAGCACAACTGAGACAGAGTACAGCAGTACAGAAATAAGGACTTACCCCACCTGCATGATAAGAATGCAAGAGAAGGAGGGAGGAGCTAAGGCAAATATGTTTATGAAGGAGGCTGAAAAGCAGCACCATCTTATCAACCAGAAGAGCATCAAGTGGGAGCATGCACAGAACTGAGACTCAGCGTAAGAAAAATATTATTTAGTAAACAACATATGCCTGTGGTTAAAGATCAAAATTATGAAGCCCATCCCTGGTTTTGCCTCCTGTGAAATCGTGAGGAAGCTCCACTTCTCCATCATTACAGTGTGGATCATAACATTTTCTAGTTACTTGAAGCGCTAAAGTTTAATTAAGTCCTCAAATTCTACGTAAAATGTACTGCAGAAGGACTGTTTAGTTTTAATTAAGTCTTGAAGTGTAACCACAGTGAAAATGAAGTTAAGTTAAACTGTGGTGCTTATTTGCCACTTGGCCTTCTGGATAAAAGTCCTTTCAGACTCAAAATCCTATGAAAACCAACAGCAGCAGGGAAACTCAAATGCACTCCTAAGCAGAAATGAGAGCTATGAAAGTGAAGAAACTCCTGCCTGGGGCATATCAATGGGAACAGCGAAGAATGAGAATTCTTGCTGGCCACGGGAGAAGCAGCACTGCCATGTCAGCTCAAAAACATCTGAGTCAGCTACAAGTTTTAAAATGAGAAATGAAAGAGAGAGGCAACACCTGCCAGCAGTTGCTGCCACCAACCACCTCAGGGATCTGTCCTTTCATTGCCACGCCAGTGATGTGGAAGGCCCCCAGTACTCACCACCCCACTGGTAGACTTGGTCTTCAACTCCAACTTGACCATTCCAAATCCTGAAAACAGAACAGCACACAGGGCCTGTTTTACCCCAGTGCACAAGCAAGGCTTGTTTCCAGCATATCCAAAGTACCACAGGTAGGGTACACTGAGCTAAAACAGCCTATTTTCATGGTTCAATAGTTGATCGTACTGAGGAATGACTGAAAGAATTTTGACAATTCAAAGTGAGTGGTCTCATAATTTACAGTCATAACAGACACCAATCATCAAGTATTTCCATCTTCTGTAGCTGCCTGCAGTCTGGGACCCATCGATACAGTTACCATTTCTGCTGATTAACTCAATTTATTTTTATAGTTCTGATTGCAGAACAGGAAATTTTTCTTTTTAATTTTAGGTAGCATACGGATTTGGGATATAAATGCAATCTTTATCACACACAAAATCAGACTAAAAAAACATCAACACTGTTAGTACTGTTCCCAAAAAGGGACAAATGCAAATATTGTGGCAATATCTTCTCTACCTGTAACAGGAGGCTGTTCTGACTAACAGAAAGGTCACTTTACCTCAGGAACCTGATTATTGCCCCATACGGCCTCCTATGGCAACCTGCATCACTGTCACTGATTTAATACCTCTAAATACAAAAACTGGAAGGTAAAGGGTGGAGCATTTTTCAGAGACTGCTTGGAGTGCATCTTAAGGTCAAACTCCTGACCTTCCCCTCTACCTCTTTGCCACTGCAGCATTCTCATGATACATGCCCAGAGTTCAGATCAGAAGGTGCCACGTCCTCCAAGCCTCTGCTGAATTCCTACCACAAGCCATTAGGGGATCTCTGAGGTACTAATGTTTTTACTGGTATTTTCAAGATGCCTAAGAAAAAAATGTGAAAGCTTACCAAACCACAATCGTGTCACTTACCATAGCCCTTGTTGAACACATCCCTGGCAGACTTTCCCAAGTCACTGTACGACGGTGGTACAGCCATTGGATCTGAAACACACGGGAAGCTGTAAGAATCCTAGGTGTGGCAGCATCAAATCTAAACTATATCCAAAGCATTTATAACTCTATGAGCAGCAGGCTCTCAGTACTTCACTGACAGGGAACTGTCAAAAGCCCTCCTTGCGTCAGTTGCTGTGTCAGAAACGAGCTCCAGTTCAAGGAAGTTCCCAAAGCCAACCCATGAACTGGAAACACTGAACCCAGGCAGTACATCCACCAATGTCAGCCTCACATTCTTCAATTGCAAAAAGAGCCTTATCACTGTTCTGATAACAAGCAAACATTGCTTCCCTGGCAGGACCCTCTCTGAAAAGGACCCCAAAGGGCAAAGCAAGGTCAGGACTGAGCAATCCCAAAGGAAAACAGATCTCACTTCCATCTGCACTTGTGACTTCTTAGAAAGCTTTTTCAGAGATGTGTAAGAACAGAGATCTCTGCACACTGTCCAGTAACCATCAGGATCTCTGCACTGTGCATACACAGCAGCAAAACCTACATTTCCTAATACGGGTCCCTGGGACAACCAATCTGGAGGGCAAAACTCAAAAGGACAGGCACATGATACTACAGCTCACATGATATATTCTACCTTAGTTACCATAATTCAGGGATTTTGCATCAGAAAATCCACAAAAAGTGCAGGAAAACTCTTTCCCAGTGGAAAATTACTCCTCCCCTTCTAGATTAAATATGCATAACTGTGAACTGCACTCCTTTCTTTTGCTTTTAAGGGTAGTTCTTTGCCATTCCTACTTCTGATGCATTTGTTCATCATCTTCTCTGCAACGCCCGACTCCAGAAACGCCCCACCCCAGCTCCTGAAAACATTCTACCTCTTTCAAGCTTTGCAAGCTGTCTCTTAAAATCTTTCA